TTGTTTCAATGGATGATGTATAGTTTCGTTTTAATTGATGGAATATATATTTTTTCGGCGATTAGTTTGACATCGGTTGGATGTTTAGGGTTAAATAGAAAAGTGAATTGTAGTTTTGAATTAAAATCAAAATTACATGACATTTTGTGTTAAAAAAAATATGTTGTTCTGTGCTAAATAAAGCTCGCTGTTTATTTTTTTTTTAAATAAATGTATGTTTTTGTTTTCTTTTAAAATTAAATATATATTGTTTTTATATCAAAAGTAAATTGGTATTTTATAAAAATTATGTACCACTACCATCAATGTTTTTTGTTATCTTATTTATTCTTACACTTGTAACCATGGGTCTTACAATTTAATGCATTGAAGTTTATTGTGGTTTAGAAAATATTTTATGTAAATATGAATGATGTTGTTAATAGAAGATTTTGGTTTAATTTGGGATTAAAATGTTTTAAATACTTGTGACGTTAAAGAAACTATGTTCAACTGGCCTAAAGAACACCCAAAATGTTTGTGGTATTAAAAAACCGAGTCTAACTCAATTTAACCAATTAAGTGTAAAAAAATGGCAATTAAGAAAATTCTGAAAAGCCAATGGATTAGTAAACAATTAATTGACATTTTGTATGTTAGCAGCCACGTGCGTTGTTGATTAATTGATTTTCCCTGTTGAGACTCATGTTTGGATTTTTTATATGTTAGAGCAACGATAATTAGCATGTTATGGTCTATGAATTTTGTATATATTGAAATAATATGTGAAAAATTCGACATCTAATATGAACAAAGCGGTTGCCAATGTTCTTGCGAGTTATTCCTAACCTGTTTCACACCTAAATTCTTCTATAACATTAAAATAAACCCTTCATTTAACTTCTTTTACCACTCCTATGCATCTACTATGTATGAAAACATAAGTATTAAGTAAAAAAGAAACACAAATATATAGTTCTTAACGGACTAAGTCCATTGACTAAAATAGAAACAACAAATTTTGAATCCATGTATCACCCAAAGCACATTTTTTGTAATTTAGTATCTAAGTTTGGACTTTGTTACGAAGATTGTCGCTAGTGACATATTTACCCTTTTATAAAATTTTTATTGACATTTTAATTTAAATAATTCTAAATAGTTTTATATACCTATGTGTTTGCAGTTTTATATAAATGGGGCCAAACACACACCCACACCCACCCTCTCTCTTTCTTCTTACCATTTCTTTATGTGTGTCATATGAGACGATTCTTCAACTTTAATGCATATTACACGCCAAAAAAATTGCAACCAAAATGAAATTTCTTTTTTTGCCATATGATTTTAGTTACTGTGACTTTATTGGCTATGTAAGCATCATCACATTCAATCTATGAATCAACAATGGTTAAAAGTGAGACATATTTGCATCAATACATAATACTTCCTTTTGAAGACTCTAATAGCTTGTGACCTTGCTATTTACTAATAAGAACAAACATAGAAACAAGACGGAAAATCAATTGTATAAAAAAAGGCATGTAAAAACTAACCAAAGATATAGAATGGAAAAAGAACCATGTTTGTATCATCTTATGAACTTTGAACTCCATAGACTCATATGAACTCCATATCTACATAGAGAAAGTAAAAAAATCAACCAAAAAAGCATAATGTTTTGTTAAACAGAATTGATGAATAAATCAAGATACCGTTTAGTATACCTGGGCTAGGATAAAAATGAAGATTTTGTTGCTCTTTGAGGCATCTTTATCCTTAGGGATAAGGTTCGAAAAAGCAAGGTAAAAGAGCCTCTTCAAAACATCTTTATGCTTTCAGAGCTACAAAGTTCTTGTTTCACTCATCCATTTCCACAATGGTACACTCCAACTCCCCTTGAAAAGGAAAAAAAAAACTACAAAAAAAACATTTTTTGTGAAAAAAGATTTCTTGATTAAAACAAATCAAATCAAAACTAAAAGAAGGTTGTTAGTTACCTAATCGCATAGCTATCAAAAATGAAAGTTGCAAAATACCCCTTTGTGATTTAATTTGTCAAAACAGGTGGCGGTATGCAACATGATAGCGTCACCAAATCATTGTATTTTTATCAGTCAAACTACTTTCAACCTAAAATAAACATAAACATAAACAAAACAATCGATAATTATGCTTATAATGGTAACAAATCAAATATGACAAAGTAACCCATAAAATTAAAACCAAGATATTGAAGAGTTTTAGTATACTACAACTTCCTATGGTGCACATACAACCCTAAATGATTTGTGTTTTCTCTAATTATACATGCAATATTGTTTCCAAAGCAGTAAGCCTACAACTAGCATACAAAATGATATAATCAACATAAAAGGGAGTTATAGAGTTACCTTTTTGTTGTAGCTTGTATAACTTCTTGAATTTGGAATTTAAGAACTTAGTGTCCCAAGTGTTGCACCTCAAATGAAATCACACAACACCACCAACAATGGATGACTTGAGAGAGAATACTTGCACTTAAAAATCGGCTATAGCTCTTCCAAGAACACTAGGGTCCTCATTTTAGGAGCTAATGGGTTTCTTATATAGTGTGGCAAAACTAGGGTTACACCATGTAAACCCTAATGTGCATGACCTTCCATATTCCTTAGGCTCCATGGGTTTAAACCTCCATGGATCATCCATGGGTTTAGCCCAACCTAAGGAATCATGGATCATTGGCCCACACCATAAGAATTAATGATTTTACCAAATCAATCCCTTATATTTAATTAGTCTCTTTTGATCACAAAATTAATTCCAAATTAATTTTTGCTCAATACCAATTGAATAATATGATTTCATATTAATATATTAGAACTTATAATATATTAATAAATCATGAATATCCTCTTCTCAAAAGTCCATCCTTATAAATTGTTCCGATGCCATGCAACCCAAATGGACCATGCTACTCTCAGGTCAAGTACATACCAATTATAGTTATGGGCTTAGACACCTAATCCAACAGATATTATATGGTAGAGTTTCAGAAAATAACCCTTTACCTTTCCATTCTTCCAGAATTTCATTGACTTTAAATAACAGGAACTCAAAACATGTCACACCCCCGACCGAGGTGGCGAAACATGTCGGGATGTGCGACTAAGTTCATGGATCATAGGTAAATCGAATATATAGTAGAGGTACAACAATAAACAAAATAACATTCATATTCCATATTGATGTTTGAATATTAGGTTCTTACAAATAATAGTAAATGAATTGCCTTAACAGATAGGCATATATTACAACACCTAGTAACTAAGTCACCTATAATCCAATCCGTCTTGAATGTCTGTTTAGTGATTTCCTGAGAATACATGTAGTTTTGAGGGTCAAACATAAGGTTGGTGAGAGTTGCAGGCTTTTTGCTAACAGCACTAATACTTTTAAGAAGTCTAAAAAATATTTTCTTTGTAAGTATAACAATACTTAAAAATGTGTTTGTAAGGAGTCTTTGAAAGCCAAAATGCATCTTTGTTTAAGTAAATCAATACTTAAAACTGTGTTTGTAAAGAATTCTTGAATATACTTGAAAAACAAACTAGATTGTTACATAAATAATCCATACTTAAAATAGTTTTGAAGGAAACCAAGTCCATGGTTTGTAGTAAGTAAGAGACCATAAGTAAATCCATGCTTAAAATAGTTTTGAAAACAACCAAGCCCATGGTTTGTAGTGAGAGAAAAAGATTCTAGTTAATGTTCACAATGACTCCTATAACCGAGATATGTGACTGAATGTACCCCCTACGTCGCTTCATTATACGCCATAGTAACGATAGTAGACACTTATCACCCACTTTGATTGATCGGTTGAGGTTGTAGCTAGCAACTGCAGGTGGGGAAGTCAACCCCATATAGATCTATACATATGTATCTTGCTTCGAAGATTAACGGTTATAGTAGTGTGGGTATGCTAAGTGTTTTACACTTAGCTAATGAATAGTGTCTCACTGTAAAATTAATAAAATTTGAGTATTTTTGGCAAGTGGATACGTAAAATTGTAATGTACTCGCTTTTATAAAGAGGCACATTTCAAAGTAATGATCATAAGTACATATACAAACTTTAAGTTAAAATAATTATAACTTGTATAAATAAGTATTTAAAGTATATATATATATATATATATATATATATATATATATATATATATATATATATATATATATATGGTTAGGTTCATGTGAGACGACCTAATGTGAGACGCAATCCTAACTATTAATTTTGTAGATAAAAATTAACATTTTTAAAATGCAAATTAATTGAAAATGTTCGATTTTTTTTTCAAATATTATTTTCCTCATTTATATTTTCCAAAAAAAAATTAAAAAAAATACCAAAAATAAAAAAAATAAAAATAAAAAAACCTTTTTTTTACATATTCTAGTAGAATATTAGAATATTTTACATATCTGACAAATCTAGTAGAATATTCTAACATTTTAAAATCACATTAGAATATTTACAGTGTAATATTCTATTAGAATATTTTATATATTTTTCAAAAAAAAAAGATAATTTTTAAATTTTTTTTTTAGATAATTAAAGTGACGAAAATAATAACTAAAAAAAGAATTTTCAGATTTTTCCTTTTATTTTGTATTTTAAAATTATTTTTAGATTTGGTCTCACGGTCTCACAAAATTAACATGGTGTCAAATAAACATGAATATATATATATATATATATATATATATATATAAAAGATTAAGAAGAACCATTCATTTTTAATAAGGTTATTTTTTTTTTTTTTTTTTTAATATTTTGATTTTTTAAGATTTTTTATAAATAGAAAAACGACAATCAAGACATATCGTCTTCATGTAAAACACATTCTATCACTTTTGTGTTTTAATCACATATCATTATTTTTCATAATCAGCTAAGAACAAAAAAATCCTCTCAATCTCTTTCAACCATAACACCACCACAACCACCATAGCCGGCGGCAACATCACCACCGGCACCGATGATCTCACTGCCGCCATCACCGCCGACGACGGAATTGCAGATCTTGAACCGTCGTTACCTCTTTTCAGTTGCATATCCGGTGTACCGTGGCCATCTCCTACCACCAATGAACATTCTTCATCAGATACATCTTCGTGTATCGTCTCCATTTCCTACCACCGGTGAACATCTGTCATTAGATACATCTCCAGTCGGCTCCAGGTCTTTGATTTCGCCTCAGATTTACTTTATTTGCATCTAGATCTACGATTTTCTACAGTAGATATATAAAGTTCCGGCGAAGATCAACCACAACCATCTCCTTCCAGATCTGTGTCGTCTCCAATTTGTTCCTGCTTCATGCTCCGTTAAGCTTTTCCGGCCGGTAGCCGACTTCACTAAAGCGAACAAATCTAAAGAGCAAGGATGAAAAATCGCATTCTCCCAGTGGTTGAGCGTCTCCTTTGTGTCAACAGAATCACCACAACTGACTCCTTCGGCAGCTTCTGCTTACCGCCGCTTGCTGCCTTATGGTGTTGTCGGAAAAATACAACATCAACATCTCGTCACTTTGCCTAGCCTCACGGTAACTATAGTATGCACTTTATCTCTCTACTCTCATAATCTCTCTCACACACTTAGTTCTCTCTCATGTTATCACATCCATTGTAAAGAAGGAATGAAGTATAAAATAAACAATTAACCACGATGTGTTTCTCTCAATATCTACTGTGCAAAAGTATGGTCATTGACTCACTGGCATAGCTTTTAAAACTATTCTGTGGATATGATAAACTTTTAAATAATTATAGGTACATGTCTTTTATCTAGGTTTCATTAATATTTGTAAGGTAGTATTCTATGGTTAATTATTTTGATAGTTCTAATAAAAATTTATGATTGTTAAAATCGGATCGTTAAATTTTAGATATTTATTTTAATTTTAAATTGTGAATTAGTAAATTTTGTTAAGTTTAGTGTGCTGTATAATCATATTGTTGGTTTTACTTAAATTGAAAAGATTTTTTAATTGTTTTTTTATTGTAAGTGAAATAATTTAGCATAAATAAACTCATGAAAACAATTGTATGCTTTTTAATTAACATTTACAAATAAAATCATCACGATGCATGAGTTATTTTTTAATTGTTTTTTCATTGTAAATGAAATAATTTAGCATAAATAAAAACTCATGAAAACAATTGTATGCTTTTTTATTAATTTTTAATTAATTGTTTTTTTTCTAGATTCATCACCGAGTGTTGTAAATTGTGAATTAATTATATTAAGTTGTGAATTGACTGTTTTAAGCTGTTAATTGATTATATTAACCTGTAAATTTTTTTTATGAACTTCGTGTTTGCTTTTGAAATATGAGATGAAAGAAAACATTATAAGCATATATGATTTTATCCACCTTTGAATAAATTGTGAACTCATGAATTTTTATAAGTTTTAAGTTGTGAATGTATGGTTTTTATAAGTTTTAAACTATAAATGAATGATTTTTTTTATAAGTTTTAAGTTGTGAATTATGTGTATTTAACTTTGAATTGATTGTATTAAGAGTTCTAATTTGATAATACGGCTGTGAATGCATACTTTTTGTGTATTAAACTGTAAATTTATTGTATTAAGATGTGATTTTTGTGTTTTAAACCATTAATTGATTGCACTGAGCTGTGAATTTTTTGTTTAAGTTATGAATTGACTATATTAACTTGTGAATTTTGTGTATTGAACTATCAGTTTATTATATTAAGCTGTGAATTTTCTTTATTAAATTGTGAAGACTATATTAAAAGTTTTAAGTTGGTAATATGGCTTAGAATTTATACTTATTGTCTATTAAACTGTGAAATCATTGTATTAAGCTTTGAATTTTGTGTATTAAGTTGTGATTTTTGTGTTTTAAACTGTGAATTAATTGACTACATTAAACTATGAAATTTCTTCTTAAACTATGAATTGACTATATTAAGGTATGAATTTTGTGTATTAAATTATGAATTGATTGTATTAAACTGTGAATGAATTGACATTAAGCTGTGATTATTTTAAAATTTTTGTTTGATTTTCGAAATAATATAAATTTTATTCACGGCTTAATATATTAAATTCACAATTTAAAATATGAATGATTTATGTATAAATTTTTTTGTTAATTTTCTTCTGAATATATATTTATTTTTTGTATTGTATAAGTATGAAAAAATACATTAGTTTTAATAATAGTTTTGCATTAAATTCAAAATGAGTGAAATAAATGGTTTTATTAGACTGTGAATGTAGTATTTAAGTTATTAATGCATGACTTCATTTATAGATCTGATTTAGAAGAAAATAATGGTTGCGAAGCTGGAAGCTGGTATAGGTGGTTGGTGGGAGCATGTGGTGGTGGTAGTAGTAGAGTTTGAATTTTTGATTTCTTTGAGTTTGTCAATTATTGTAAATTGGTTTGTATTAAGTTGTGAATTTTGTAAATTAAACTATAAACGGACTGTATAAACTTGTAAATTATATAAGTTTTGTGTTCAAATATTAGAGCATATAAGAATGAAAATATTATACTGTAAAAATTATAATTTTGCCCTTTTGTATCAAAAAGAGAAAAAAAGGATTTTCATATGTTTAATAAGAATATCATGTAAATATTTAATAACTAATAGGGTTCTTAGGGTTCTTAATCTTTTATGGTTCTCATTTGAACCATTATATATATATATATATATATATAATATATATATATATATATATTATAAAAGAAATGTCACTATTTCTATAAATAGATTGAATATAATAATATTATTTTTTAAGACGTCCAAACCATTAAGCTGATAATACAAGTAACTACCAATAAAATATTAATAATTATTTGAATTAATCAAATTAGATTAAATCGTACAAACAATAATACAACATATACAAGTAGCTAATGCAATACATAAAAGTTCTTTGACCCGGTTCCTTTATCTTTCCCTCTTATCTTTACGTCCCAGTTGGCCAGTTGATTGACTCACTTGATTCCTTATAAATCTGCAATAATCTTTCAACAAACGTGCTGAACTTTCCCTATATCTAAGCTGAATATATAAGCATCATTAAGTAAATTGAAGGCAGTAAGGCACATAAGATTAAATTCCTTTGTTCCTTGGATTCCTCCATCTTCTGAGTCCCTTCGTTCTCTCCCACTTTGGGGCTTCGTTCTCTCCTACTTTGGGGGACTTTGGGGGTGTTTGGTTTAATTTTTTTAGAGGCAAAAGTCATTTTTGGAAAAGTTACAAAAAATCATGTTTTCCTGACTTTCCAAAAAGTCAGTTTTTTTATATCAAAAATTCAAAAGTAGCTTTTAAAATCCTTTTACCAAACATCTTTTACATTTTATCTTTTCCAAAAAGACTTTTCCCTCTAAAAAAATAAGCCAAACCCCCTTCTTCATGTCTTTTGAAATACAGAAACCCTAATGCCGCTAGACTCTCTCTCTCTCTCTCTCTCTCTCTCTCTCTCTCTCTCTCTCCTCTCTCTCTCTCTCTCTCTCTCTCTCGTTGTTGCCACCAAAATCAACCACCTCCAGTGTTTTCTCAATGCTACAATGACCCCAACCCATCTGTCAACGATTTTCGTAAGCAAATCAGGTTTACCCTTCGTACCCATAGATTTCTTGATTGTGGTTGTCCTATTTTGGGTTTTTTTTCATAATAATATGCTGCAACGACCCTCAGCCCCGGCCACTAAGCACTAACCACCACCGCCATAGAAATCCCACAACTCTTCTTCGATGTTCGATTTCTTTGGTGATGGAACCCATCTTTATAAGGTACTCACCATAGCTCTTTGTTTTGAATCCTCTTTCTAATTCACTGTGTATATCGATAGTCGACCCTCCTGCCTCACATCTTCAAGTTTAAAGGTACAACTTTGGGAAATCAAACATATGTTTGTTTTTTTTTTTCATGTTTTTTTGAAGATTCAAGCTATAAGTGTGGGAAATCAACGATGATTAGTTTGTTATTTCCAGTATTTTTCTAGATTCAAGCGAGAAATTTGGGAAATTATCTCAGTCTGTTTTTATATTTCAGACTTCAAGTCCACAGATAGAGGAATCTCTCTTAATCTGCTATAAAAACTTATTTGTTAGAAGTTCATGAGTTTTTCAGCTTTTAGATCTTGATATAAGTTATCAATACTTTACTTCTTTGCTTGCAGATCCAAAGGCAATAGGAGATTGACACACTAAAAAGGAACCACAAAGCCCCATGAAGCAACTCTGGATAAATTTGAGTTAGTGAAAAGAGAATCTAAAAGTTTATAATCACAGAATGTAATAAAATGTGAGAAAAATAAGAAACTAAATGTGATTGTAGGTTAAAATGAAACAACTCAAAAGTTTTTGAGTTAATGTTGTAAGCCTAAAAGGTTTTGTGTTTATAATTTCCTATACCTAATGAAATATATAATGAATCAGGTCCACCTCCCACCAGGAAAATTGCAACATTGTTTTATAGACTGAGAAGAACGCATGTGGTTGCTAAAATTAGGAGTTACTAAACTAAAATAACAATGTAGTGAAAGCAGAAATTGTAAAAAGTGTGCTTAACTCAACGAATGATATTTTTTTATATGTTTTATTTTTTTATTGTCTTATATCTTTGCTTATATCAACTGATCTTATAAATATGTTGCATAAACCAAGGTAACATTTTGTTGCATAATTTAATCATAAAATTTGATGTTTTTCTTTTCAGTTCACTAGAACATCTTTCTAATGGGTATCGTTTTTATTCATGTTAGGTTAATTTCTCTTCGTGCCTCACAAAGCGTAAATGAATGACACATTTTTACCCTTGTATTGTATGTTCACAGCTATATGCAAACTATGTCATTGGTAAAGATGTCCATGTCATGAAAGTAGTGGTTGGAGAAGAAGTCGTCTTCTGAGGATCTGTTCAGTTTCACTTTCACTATCTAAATTACAATCATGGTTCTTAATGGGATAAAACTTGTTGGACTTGTATTTATGTGTGAAAAAAATCGTAAGAAATTAGCTTATGATAAAATAGGAAAATTCATTATCTGAAATTTTTTGTGGTTTTCTGTGTTTAACCTTATATAAACGTGGGTGAATAGGAAAATTAATTACTAGATATTGATGTTACATTAAGTTTTAGATTTATGTTTCAGTTTATGGTCTCTATCTTAGACAACAATTTCCTTACAAAGGAAAAAGGAGTTAGTTTAGAATTTATTTAGCGCAATAATATGATGTTAGAGTTGATTTTTGTGCCCTTGAAACATATTCAGATGAAGGAAGCGAATCGAAAACCCTAGAGCCTAGACGATTTCAATGCTTGAAACAAAGAGGTTTAATTCGGGTATTTTTGTGATTACCTTTAATTTCATGTTTTATTATGTTTAATTTCATTTTTTAATTATCCATGGTTAATGTAATTTTTTTAACAAGATAAAGTCGAGATCACAATTTCTCTTTCTTTTCATGTTTGTGTTAATTTGTTACGGGTTTTTCATATATTTTTGTTTATTGTTCAAATTATAAGGATACTTTTTGTAGTTACAGGAAAATGAATTCCACCGGCTGCTCCAACTTTCAAAAACATGTTTCCATTTGTTGTTTCTCTCTCACAGTTGATTGCGGAGTATCCGATCATCCAATGGAGTATAGGAGGATATTCTTAAGCTTCAGGTAACCCTGTTTATCTTGCTAATTTTCTATATAGTTCCCTTTACTTTGGTATTTTGATGGTCTATACTTTCATGAGCAGGCATATAATATTTTATACTTTCTTCCTTGGAGCTTTTTGGTTTGAATCCTTTCATCTTTATGTCTTTTGTTGCTTGATTCGGGTTTGAGATTCTTGGAATTACATGATTGAGGTTCGGACTTTGGACGTACCTTTGCCTTTCAAGTTTCATCATATGTAAATCCGACTTTATAGCCCATCAATCTGGATGGTCTTACTTTGCTATGTTTGTAGATTCCGACTGAGGTAAAGAACACAAAGCTAATTATAAGGCAGCCGCCATTTTCAACAAATGTCATTTTGATGCTTATTTGAAAGCTGATTAATAATTATGCAAACATTTTAAAATCTTTTTCACCCTTTCATGGATTTCTTATTTTTTTTATTTCAACCATTTTATTTTATGATGTATCAGTTTCTGCATCTTATTCGTGATTTCATTGTACACATAGATTGCATAGCCGGTGTTACTCCCCCTATTTTCTTAAAATTTTCTTATTTGATGAATTTCACTTCAGTTTTCTTGATTGTTTTAGTGTAGACTTTTTATTACAACATTGTTCTTAAAAACTATTCAATTATAAAAAACAAAAGCTGTTATAATTAAAATGAAAGTATGAATCAAATAAAATCCATGTGATATGATCATTTTGATAATTTGTAGTCTTTTTTGGTGTTTAGGTACAATAAGAATGCGAAGGAATATAAGAGGGTCTTAAAAAAACAAAGCATAAAACAAAATCTTGGTGCATGCTCTGAATGAAACTTTCCTCTGCTCTCTTCATGAAACAATGATTTTATTCATGTCAATTCGGAGATTAAAGAGATCATTTGTTTTAATGTTTAAAACAACTTAGGTTATGATATTTGGATATGAGTGTGAGCAATTCAGGAAGAAAGGTGTGATACATAGCAGGGCAAATTCAAACATATAATGTTTTTATTTTTTTTAATTTATCATATTATTTTTAATTATATTATTATTATATGTAATTGATTTGATTCAATTTTAAATATAACAAAAAGATCTCTTGACATTCAATGACTTGTCTTTACTAAAATATTTTATTTTTTTACAATCATGCCAAATTCTCTAGGTTTCAATGTAATGTCCTAAAAATCAAGACCAAAAATTTCATTTTAATTTATTAATAAACCATAGTTATCAAATCAGAGTATCTTCTCAAAACACTTATTTATTACATCAGAGTAAAATATCACAGGCTAAACATCATGGTGGGTGCAATGCAGTTGTAACGACCCAATTTTCAAAGTAAATTTTTTTCATTTTAGAATAAGCAAACATATTCTCATACATTAAGAAATCCAGTTATAATTGTTTCCAAACATAAGTCAATACAACTTTATTCCAAACATCAGAGTGTTCCATAAAGTGTCTGCGAGAGAGTGCACGTCGTGCCATCACGCCTTGCCCTTGCCCTTGGGATCTGAAGTACCTGAAACCATAAACAAACATGTAAGCACGAAGCTTAGTGAGCTCCCTAGAGCATACCCCACACACAATCCACATAACATGTTAGTTATAAAAGCTACCTCTACCACATAACACATATCAATTAGCTATAAAGCTACCTCTACCACATAATGCATATCAATTAGCTATAACAACTACCTCTACCATTTAATACATATCAATTAGTTATAAAGCTATCTCTACCGCATAATGCATATCAATTAGCTATATAAACTACCTCTACCACATAATACATATCAATTAGCTATAAATCTATCTCTACCGCTAGCCACAAAGGTTATCTTTACCCTTAGCCATAAAGGCTATCTCTACC